AATTAAGGCTTCAGATGAGATGTCATTAGTAATATCGTTTATATATAACGTAAATAAAGGAGATCCCATTGCTGAACCTTGGGGAACTCCTAATGTAGGAATGAATGGATCTGATAAAAAATTTCCGACAGACACTTGGTGTGATCTTTCTGATAGGTAGTTCATTAATAATTGTAATAAGTTATTCGGTAAATTTAAAAGTTTCATTTTGTGAAAAAGTATGTCATGTTTAATTGTGTCTAATGCTTTTGAAAAATCTAAATAAATAACATCGACTTGTAGGCCTCTTTGTAATGCATTATTAATGAATTGTGAAAAGTGTGTTAAATTAGTAATTGTAGATCTTGCTTTAATACATATACATCCGTGCTGTTCATCGATAATAATTAGATAGAGATATGCCTGAATCGTATGTAATATAGATCGCTCGAAAACTTTTGCGAAATTTTGGATATTGGCAATAGGACGATAATTTTTAATGAATGACTTATCTCCACTTTTATAAATCGGTAATATTTTCGCTGACTTCCATTCTTGTGGAAAAACGCCGGTTGTTATGCGATATTAAATATAAACATGAGTGGTTCACATGGGGCGCATGATTATTCCTCAAATTTCAACTTCCTAATGTCCAAAACATCGAAATTCTTATCATCGAAACATCATTTCGCATAATTTTCAGTTTTCGAAATTTCATTCAACATAATTTTTAATTTATCGATTTATTCTTTATCCTATTATTTAAATAGTCGAATTGTTTTTTAATATAATTTTTAATATGTCGAAAATTTTTTTGACATACATTTTGTTTTTCCGAATGACTATTTATCATAATTATTAATCCTCCGAATTGCCATTTGACATAATTTTCAAACCTTTGAAATATTATATTACATAACTTTCATTTATCGAAATTTTATTTGTCATAATGTTCATTTACTCGAATTATCAAGTGACATAAAGCGCATTTACTCGAATTCTCATGTGACATAACCTTCAAATCTTCAAAATGTCATATTTAAGAAATTTCATTTATCGAAATTTTATTTGTCATAATGTTCATTACTCGAATTATCAAGTGACATAAAACGCATTTACTCGAATTCTTATGAGATATAACCTTTAAATCTACGAAATGACATATTTCAGAAAATTTAATTTATAGAAATTTTATTTGTCATAATTTTCATTTATTCGAATAACCATTTAACATAAAATTTATTTGTCCGAAATTCCATTTGACATAATTTTCAAATATCCGAATTACCTTTTAACCTATATAATGCAAGTCACAGAAAGTTCATTTGTCCTAAAAATAACAATGAAATTTTCAAATATTTTTCTCATTTCTATTTTCTATTTTTAAGACAAATGAACTTTCTGTGACGCTAAATACTCGCGAGGGGTAGTTTCTAGAATTAACCCCCTAGATATCGATAGGGACGAAAACGGGATTGTGCACGCTAGACAGTTTAATATCTTAAACCGGAAACTAGATATCAAAACTACATTCGATATTCTTATCCTGCCCGAAACTAGTGTGAGTATTATGATGGCTCAGGTTGCATCTCCACCAAGTGGCCCCTTGGTGTGGAGAATTCACCTGGTGCGTCATCTTCGTCAAGAGAGTTGCCCCTCAACTCGACGAGGATGGTCTAACCATAATTGTATAATATAAAGTGTAATTGTGTGAGTGTAAGTGTGTGTATTCTAGTGCTAGAACCAACACGGATGCCCCCATAGAAGGTTCAGGCTGGAGTCCCATAGCACCGTTTTGCGTTGCGTTTTGTAACTAGGCCATGAGTGCAAATATAGCAAACATATATCTTCATCTCTCTCACACTCATTGCCTAGTTACAAAACGCAACGCAAAACGCTGCCATGGGACTTCAGCCTCACTGCACTAGAGAGTAATGTGAGTTGAGTGTGTATTAGTGTAGCGCATTTCACCTGCCCTGTGCAAAAGGTAAAAGGGTTAAGGGTGAGAGAGTGTAAGCATGAGCTGCTGTCGGTCTACCTCGGAGCAAGCCCCAAGCTCGGCCGGCGGCGAACTGATGAAATTCTCACTGCAACCAAGTATTATAGATCGCTGGCTTTGATAGGTATCGCGTAAGGAGAGAGAGCGACTCACGTGCTTGCGCGGCAAAGTATGCGCGTTCGGTACTCTCCTCTCTGACAGCAAGCTGAGAGCTCTGTAGTATATATAGATATACTAAATGCATACTTATACGAATTGATTTTACTTTACGTTAGAAATTAAAAACTCTTTCGTTACAGGTTTCTGAATGCATTTACAATATCTAGTGGTTCATCCACAACAAAGTTATCATATGACATACAGTCTGGTATACTCGACCTTAGCTTGTTATTGTTAACAAAACTCCAAAATTGTTTAGGATTAGCTTTGAGATTAATTCAATTGCATTCGAATAGTTGTAAAGATTATGTTTAATTTTTTTATGAATAGACGCTGAGAGAATCTTTATTTGTAAATTATCATAATTTGAATTTATCGATCTTTTTTTAAAGTTTATTTTTAAACTTGATGTAATTGATTATTGACTGATCTAACCAAGGTGGATAACGCCGTTTTCGATAACACAGGCCTACAAAATTTAGAATTTTGTCAGACCCACAAACGGGATAAGTCATTTCCGATGTAACTTGTCACCCTGAATCCAAAACTGGCAGCGAAATTGCTCTATCATGTCAGGATTCTGAGATATTCTAACCTAAAAGAGTAAAAAAGGCCATTTTTGGCAACATTCGACTCTCAATAAAATCTACAAAAATTTTTTTTATCATTCGAACAAATTTTAAAGGAAAGTACAATTATTCACCTTTCAAAATATTCTACATCCGAACCGATCCGACTTTTTTTCATTAAGGTACAACAATTTAAAGTTTAGGTTACACGACCTAAAAACTGAAAAAACGAAGAAAAGAATAATTGGAAAGGACTTTAACTTAAGCATCTGATTCTTAATATTTTGGGATCGTTGATTAGAAAACCGATGTCGGATTTTCAAAATTCAAAATGGCGGATCCAATATGGCGGCTGTCAAAATAAAAAATTGATCGGATTCGCTTGAAACTTTTTACTCGGGGGTTTTTGAGGTCCCTAATTACGAATCTGATGTCAGATTTTCGAAATTCAAAATGGCGGATGTAATATGGCGACATATTTTTAAAAAATTTAACGGATTTGCTTGAAACTCTTCACTCGGGTGTTTTTAAGGTCGCTTATTACAAATCTGATGTCACATTTTCGAAATTTAAAATTACTGTGGATCTAATATTGTGTTATATGTTAGTAAAATCGAAGAACGTAAAATTCGAACATTTAGGGCATAATTTATACACTCTTTTAGTAAAGAAAATTTAAAGTTTTATTTTTCTTTATGAACCTTTACACATTTTTCTTCAAAAGATTTTCGTATAGTTGGTTTCGTTTTTAGAATATAATACAGAATCACTTCTTTGCTTATATCTAGACCTGTAAATACATCTTTTCTCAATTTAGATATCTATGGGTGTGGAAATCTTTTTTTCAAGTACGCCAAAGACTTCGAATTTCACTAACATATAATACCATATTAGATCCACAATTATTTTCAATTTCGAAAATGTGACATCAGATTCGTAATAAGCGACCTTAAAAACACCCGAGCGAAGAGTTTCAAGCAAATCCGTTAAATTTTTTAAAAATATGTCGCCATATTACATCCGCCATTTTGAATTTCGAAAATCTGACATCAGATTCGTAATTAGCGACCTTAAAAACCCCCAAGTAAAAAGTTTCAAGCGAATCCGATCAATTTTTTATTTTGACAGTCGCCATATTGGATCCGCCATTTTGAATTTTGAAAATCCGACATCGGTTTTCTAATCAACGATCCCAAAATATTAAGAATCAGATGCTTAAGTTAAAGTCCTTTCCAATTATTCTTTTCTTCGTTTTTTCAGTTTTTAGGTCGTGTAACCTAAACTTTAAATTGTTGTACCTTAGTGAAAAAAAGTCGGATCAGATCGGGTGTAAAATATTTTGAAAGGTGAATAATTATACTTTCCTTTAAAATTTGTTCGAATGATAAAAAAAAATTTTTGTAGATTTTATTGAGAGTCGAATGTTGCCAAAAATGGCCTTTTTTTACTCTTTTAGGTTAGAATATCTCAGAATCCTGACGTGATAGAGCAATTTCGCTGCCAGTTTTGGATTCAGGGTGACAAATTACATCGGAAATGACTTATCCCGTTTCTGGGTCTAAAATTTGTAGGCCTGTGTAATTATTGTTAGAAGTGATAGGTACGAATTGTTCAAACGCACTGTAAATAGTTTGTAAGAATTTCCCAGTAAGAAGCGAAGAATTGAAAAGAATTGAAAATTTTTAATTCTTCTAAATTCCGTTTATGTACAATTCTTTTGTATCTTTGGAGACTAGCGGGGAAAACAGCAAACTCAATTCCTTTCAATGCTCTTTTGATATTTGTGCTGTGAGTATATAGGAATTGAAAAGAATTGAAAAATAACATAAAAGTTCATAGGGATTGAAAATTTTATTAAAATTTATATTTTTAGATTTATAAGAATCAAATTTTTAATATTCCAGATAAATTAAAAAGAATTAAAAAATAGTAAAAAAATTCAAAAGTATTGAATAAATTTAGAAAAATTACTATTGTACGATTATTTAAAAAAAGCCAAAAAATATAATTAAACATAAACTATAATATATTGAAAGTTTAATTAATTTTATTATTTAAACTTTTTAAATAATTGTTTTAATTAATTAAATTTAAATAATTAAAAGTTTAATAATCAACTTAGTAAAATTAATATATTTTGAAAGAAGAAAAAAATGAAATAAATATCAAATATTTTATAAACAATTTTTGTTTTATTTGGAAACAATAGTGCATTGTAACATTTTTTAACTATTTTATGAAACTAGATACTCAGTCTTTGAAAATTAAAATACTACTTGTTACGATATATTACGTACTATAAGAAAAATCATAGGTTTACAAATTATTTAAGTTAAATAAAGCTTTGGAATTTTGACTGCTTTTAAAAAGGCTTTAAATATTATGCAAGTTTTAAATACTGTCAGTATTGGTATTGTTTTCTTTTAAAAAGCCTTTTTTAAAATTAAATATTGCGGTCTTCCTTTTCCTCTTCTTCATCCTTCTCATTCGTATTATAATCAGTCTCTCTTTGTTCTTCTGATTCTTCATTTTCATCTTCATCACACTCATCTTTATCATCATTGTCACTCTCTTTTTCTGTTTCTTCCTCCTCCTCATTAATATTATCATCAGATTCTTTTTCTTTCTCGCCCTGATCATCAACATCAGCTTCATCACTGTCATCGACATCTTCTAGTCCCTCTTCTTTGTCTTCATCGTAATCATCTTTTTCGTCTCCTTCTTCCTCCGATGTATCATCATCATTTTTCTTTCTCTTTTGCTGTTCTTCCTCCTGCAAGTTCTCTCCTAATAATGGTCTGGCGTTAGTTTTGGCTTCTATAAAAAAATAAGGCAGAATTAATTTGATTAAAATTATGCATAATTTGAAGCAAGTTTAATATTTTTAAAACTATTATTACATACAACAGAATTACTTACTTTTGTACAGCTCTTTTATTAATGCGATTTTTTTACTAATAATGTAATTAACTTTGCAAGATTCATGATCGGCTTCATCCACATCCACTTTTAATTCATTAATAAGGAAGTGTTTATATATATCTATAAAATAAAGTTTTGCAAAAAATGTTAAATAATTCAAAAATTCATTTCTTAAAATTTATATGGAGCGAAATCCCCCAAGCAATTAAACATACAAAAAGTTTGTGCGTTTGACTATATGTAATACCCATATGTAATAAAAATAATCTTTCCTGTGGGTACTGGGACATAGAAGATCTTTAGGACCTCTATGCCCTCTTAGAAAGACGCCCAAAAGACATCCTATGTCCAAAGAATATAAGTCTATAGGATATAAGTTACCTTTAGGACGTTTTTTGAAAGGATATAGACATCCTTCGCATGTCCTAAAGACATCCCATATCCCAGTGTTTACTGGGTTGCTACCTTTTATGGCCAAAACTTTGTTCGGATTCAGTTTTTCTGTAGGTTTTTTAACATTTCCATTACGATTGCTTCCCTTTCTAGATACAGTGCTCTTCCTTAAAAAATCGTATCCAAATACTCCTACACATACATTTCGAGGAAAGGTTTTTCGGTTCTTGTAAGTGACTCCGTTCATTGATAAAAGATACGTATCATAAGATATCCATTCCCCTCTACCCATGTGAATCTACAATGATAGTTTAAAGTACAATTAGCATGAAGATATTAACATTACATTTTTTTATTTTCTTTTCTTCCTTTCTTAAAACTTTTTTAAACGTGAGTATAAACTATAGAAACTTACGAAACGTTTGTCATCAGAAATGTATCCTGGCAGCAACTGAGTTTCTTCAGGTTGAAGATTTTTATGATTTATAATCTGAGCAAACATATCTGAAAATAACAGTGTCTGTATTATAAAAGTTTTGGTAATAGGCCTCTATAGAGAATTTTAAAAATTAAAAACAAATAAAGTTTATTGAATATTAAAAATATTCCAAAAGCAAAATATGATAGACCTGAATTAAATTAATATAAGTCAGAAACACATTAATATAAATTAAATTAATTATAATTTTAATAGTAAATATTCTTACCCTGTACCGTAGCATATTTATTCAATGACAGCTCTTGCCATTTTGCATTCAATTTTGCTATTCTTTTTGAATGATTTTCAACTTCCATCAATTTCTCCTCTGTCTGTTGTAACTTTACTTCCAATCTCATTAGAATCTCATTGAGTTCTTCATTTTTAAGCCGTTGACTTCTGGAAATTTGTTTTGATTTCTTTAAGGCATCAGACAATTTAGCAATTTTATCCTTCTCTTTCAAAACATTTTAAGCCTTTCGTTTTTCTATCCTGTCATTCTACACAATAAGTATATTATTATTAATATAAATAATATTATTGATAATATTATAATAATATTAATATTCTGAATATTACTGTTGTAATAAATTTTACGTAAAATATTACGTAAAATTTATTACAACAGTACCTACAAATTAAAATTGTATTTTCTTACCATATGTTTCTTAAAATTCGACTCTTTGTCATTTGAACGATTCATATTTTGAGCGTCCTGGCTGTTTTGATCGTCTCTGAAAACAATTTCTGATTCACTTGAAGGTACAGGAATTAGGGAAGAACTACTACACTGAAAAAAATACATGAGACATTTTCAACTACATCCCCTTAGTAGAGTAAAAAGTAATAAAACGAACTACTTTTTTAGTTAGTCTGGCTACTTTTGATACTTATTTTAACTGTTTTATGTAGTTAAAAATTATTAATTAAATTAATGTAATTTTACAGTTAACTTTGTAACTGCAGGTATGTTATAGAAATGACTACAGAAAGTAGTAGATTCTACTACTTAAAGTAGTTTGATATACTAATTTTGTAGTAGTTTTTACTTCTTCTAGGAGTTGAATTATTTTCCATGTAATTTATGTTATAGATTTTTATAGAAGATTATCAACTGTGAAAAGTTGTAAATGCAACTACTTTAAGTAGTAAAATTAACTACAGTTATCAGTTGAACTGTGTCTGGAATGCCTTTAAGTATTAAGCAACTCATCGTAGCGGGCGAGCGTGGTTAGGTGGTTAGGTTATCGGTTTACGAATGTTAGGGTCGAGCGTTCAACTCCCGACGTTTAGAGATTTTTCTCCGTTAGGTATATAGACATTAAATAAATAAGGTATAGGTAAACAAAAGTGGGTAAGGGGAAATATAAAAAAATACAACTCGATAATATTTATAATAAATTATAAATAATTTTATTTTACCATTTTCAGTAGTTATTTTTTTACTGAGTTATCTTAGTAACTTTAACTACATATCAGCAGTTAATTCTACTGCAAAACTGTCATTGGTTCCTATTTAACTAAGAAAAGTAGTTAATGCAACTGTATTATCACTTCATTCAACTACATATCTGATAATTAATGTAAGTTCAAAATTATCTTTGGGGACTTATTGAACTAAGGAAAGTAGTTAAAAAGTAGTCAAATCTACTAAGAATTTTTTTCAGTGTAGCTTCATTAACTTGAGAAAGTTTTACAACAGCAATTTTATCCTTCTCCTTCAATGCATTTTGAGCCCCTCGTTCCGTTTTTTCGACATTCTACACAATAATAAATTATAAGAATTTTGCCTAACAGTGGAAAATGAAAAATGTTATATTTATGAAGTCTCAAATTATTTCATATCTAATTCTCTAAAACAAATTTTGACCATTTAAAAAAATTAATTTTTTAAAAAAGTTAAAATTTTTATAAATGTATTCAATTAATTGTTTTGATCATTTCTGTTACTGCAGTAATAAATTGTACGTTATATTACCTACAAATTAAAATTGTATTTTCTTACCATATATTTCTTAGAATTCGACTCTTTAGCATCTGGACGATCCATATTTTGAGCGTCCTGGCTGTTTTGATCGTCTCTGAAAACAATTTCTGATTCACTTGAAGGTACAGGAATTAGGGAAGAACTACCAGCTCCATTAACTTGAGAAAGTTTTCCAACAGCAATTTTATCCTTCTCCTTTAAAGCATTTTGAGCCTCTCGTTCTTCTTTCTCGACATTCTACACAATAATAAATTATAAGAATTTTACCTAACAATACAAAATAAACTATACGAAATTCACTTAATTGTTTTGACATTTCTGTAGTAATAAATTTTACATGATATTACGTATAAATTAAAATCGTATTTTCTTACCATACATTTCTCAAAATTTGATTCTTTGGCAATTGAACTATCCAGGTTCTGATCATCTTGATAGTCTTGATCGTGTCTGAAAACGATTTCTGATTCATTTGAAGATACAGGAATTAGGGAAGAACTACAAGTTCCATTAACTGGAGAAAGTTTTCCAATAGATGTAGACTTTTGTTTAGTGATTTGAGGACTCTGTTAAAAGGGAAATACAAACATATTAAAGAACAATAAACTGTACCTCAAAGTTCTAAGGAATACAAACAAATCTTAATGCAATTAATCGTTTTTTAAATTTTTTTTTGCATAATTAAGAAGAATTTTGGAAATTGTATAAAAATCTATTTCTTTTTTATTTTATGTCAAGTTTATGGTAAACTGTTCTTTTTACAATGATATTTGAATAACTGTAAGGCTCGTAGAAAATTGATTGACCCCCTTTAATAGTGCTATGTAGTTTAAAGGCGACCCTTAAAATAATAAATAAATGGATAGAATAATATAAATAGTATTTTCTCACCATCAAATTCTTAAGAGTTGTTCTCTGTCCCTTTTCTGTAATATCTATTCCTTTACTAGTGACTTTCACATTTGTTTTCTTAACTAGCATGGCAGAGCTTGAATTCTGATTTTTTTTAGACAACTTTCCACTTATAATGTTTTTAAAGTTTTCTTTCTTTTTAATAACTTTAACCAAAGGTGCAGAATTTGTAGGAGTGTTAGAAATCAGCTTATTATTATTTATAATTTTTAAAGGATTTCTTTCCTTATTAATAAATTTTGATGTTTCTACGGTCTCAGAATCTTTGGTGACATTATCGGATAAATTCACTTTTTCTGTTTGAATAGTCTTTGGCAATTTTGTTGATGCAGGAGGTGGGAGGCACTCATTTTCTTGTTTCCTTTTTAAAGATTCCATTCTGGCAGATAAAGCAGATGATTAAAAAAATTTTGTATTTTTTCTATTTTCAGTAATGCATCCTCCTTTCAAAGTAATATTTAACAATAACACGTTGTTCAAGTTGTTTAAAACAATAATTTGTTGTCAATAAAACAATAATTATTTTTATGTCGTATTTATGAGTTGCCATACTATATTATTGACAAGATGCTTAAATAATAATTATTGCAATAGTATATATCTTTATAAAATATTAGTTTATTTTTAATCATAATTGCATTAATTATTATTGTTACAAAAACATACATTTTTATGTGATATAATTTTTACATTGATAGAAAATGTAACTTTTTATTGTTTTTCTCATTTTTTGTTATTTTGTACAAAGATTTTAGAGTGTACTTAATTTTTTATTTTCATCTTTCCATACGATAATTTTTATGATAAACTAATGAAAAGCTTTTTAAGGTAAGTACCTAAGAGGCAAAAATTTTTGATTATATTTTAAAATTTTCGAAACGAAAATATACATAGGGGATCAACGCTCAATAAAAGCCACTTTTAATTATTTCTTCATTACATCTAAAACAATTAATAAAAATTGATTTAAATTTTACACAATTAACAGAAACTTTTAATTATAAGGTAAAAATAATAAACATAACCTAAAATTATTTGCTTGACTCTGTTTGATTAAAATAAATTTTCGTTTATTAATATTCACTAAATATAAGCCGTTTGGATATAAACGAAATTCATTTAACTCAATCATATTAGCTTATTCGCTTTGCAAAAAATTTACTTTATAATTTATATGAAATACACAGTCAAGTTTGGATTTTTGAAATTAGAGAAATTCATTCTTTTAGTTTTTATGAAATAGAAGTGTTACTTCTCACTTCAAGACTAATTTTTTATGAATTAAAAACCTCTTCCCCATTATGAAAATTATTCTTCCCTACTAAAAATAAAATGAGGAATCGTCATGAATGGTCAGAATTTCTGAACATTCCTGAACAGTCTCACCACTTCTGACGTTTTCGAACGTTTCTCACCATTCCTAACAAAATACTTTCCAAGCTCCTCCCACTTTACTCCCACCATTTTCGAAGCTGTGACCATTTCTGAAATTCTGGACTATTTCTGAAATGTGTGAACACATAACCTATAAAAATTTTGGTACATCTTTCTAATTTTGGTAAAGTCTCATGAAAATTTATATATACATATAAAATCTTTCAAATTTATTTTTTACATTTCAGAATACATTATTCTATTATAAAAATTGTTCTTTTAACTTGACAAAAGTTCTCATTTTTCAAATTGGTATAATTATTGAATTAATTATACAGCAAAAGTAGGTAAATAAATCAAAACATTCGGACCATTCTTTTAGCATTATTTAATATATTTATTTAATGTATATTTATAATATATTTATTTAATATATGTATATTTACTTGTAATTATCTAATATGGTTAATTAATAATAAATTTTGTTTCATAATATTAGTAATTTACTATACCAGTACTTATTATGAGAAGTATTTGCATTATAATTGAAATACAGTTAAATTTAAATTATTACAATTCATTAATAGAACAATTTATTACTATAATGATTATTAATAATTTAAATTTAAAATTTATAAAAATTTCAATATTGCATTAATAATTCATTATTATTATAAATTATAATGTTAAATTAAATTAATATTAAATACTAAATTCATTTTAAATGCAGATATAATAATAATTATTATTAATCTGTATTCGTATTATAGTTTATGAAACATTCCAAATTGTAAATTTAAGACTTAATTTATTATTCATTCAATTAATAATGTTAATTTTTATTAATTCACATAACCTATTATGACTAAATTGAAATATAATTAATTAATAAAAATTATTTAACAGTTTATTCTGATTTATTGATAATATTGGTAATTGAAGTTTACTATTTTACAGTTGCTCTTTATATAGACAGTTGAATCCAGAAATATGTAAGTCGGTTCGGTAGTCGCGGTCGTTAGGGCAGTTAGTTTAGGCATTAGATTAGGTCATGCGTCGGGGTTCGATCCCCGTAGGGTCCAAATTTTAATTTAATTCCGGGAATTAGTTTCAAGTTGTTCCGTATGTAAACAAACTGATATTAATTAATAAAATATATTTTTTAAAATTAATTTGTTGCAACTTTTTGCATATTGTTTAAATAAATAAAACAGAAGTGGCTTAAAAATATGGTCAAAAATGAGATACAAATGGTCTCAAATAGTCACCAAATATGGGCGGGGTCAACAAAGAGGAGGGGATAGTAGCAAACTTGTGACCACTTTAAACTTCCTCCTGATCAGTTGTGATAGATTTCTGACGAGATCCATCCAGAATCGTAAGAAAACTGGATTAAAGTGGTCAGGCGGCCTGACCATTTGTCTGACCATTCCTGATTTTATTTTTAGTAGGGTTTGTATTTCTGATTTCTTAAAACATATAAAATCTACTCTCAATTACAAAAAAATTATTGATTTATGCTTTACTATTTTTAAATTATTTATATACTTACCAGCTACAAATAGAATTGTGGCATGTTTGATGACGCCAGGTTTAATGTCGACCTTATAAGTTTGGAAAGACGTACATGGTATCTCGTTATATTTGTGTATTTGAGATACATGAACTTTTTGAGTCTCAGCCTTTTTTCCTCCTTCACTTTTCAAAAACTTAATATATGCAAATTCAGCCATCTCTGCATATTAAAACACTACAATTACACTATAATAATATTTTTTTAACTTTATTATTGCATGCTTTGTAAACTCACTGCACCGTGATTAAGCGAGAAAAATGTTTTCGTTTTTACAATATCAAAACTGCAACGCGAAACGTGTCGTATGTATTAGAAGAAGACGAATATATTCGCGTCAATCTCTATCTCAAGATTTGTACATACATATTTGCGAAGCTTGTCGGGGGTTTCCGGTTTTTTCTTAACGTCTAGAACATTCCAGAACCGGAAGTCTGTTCATCGCGCAATTAGCTTCTTTGTGACCGCCTTATTTGAATTAATAAAGTTATTATGATGTCAAACAATTTTTAAAGATTAAATATAATAAATATATTTATATATATATAAATTAAAAGTAATTTTTGTTACTAAATTTTTAAATGATTTTAATAAAATGTATTTAATTTTATAATTAATATTATGATCCAGGTAAAACAAAAAAGCTCCCGGGCCCTTATTATGCTTGATACGCTTATGTGAAATCAATTGTGAATAGAATGATGAAAGTCTTTAAGAATTAAATTCATAATCAGTTTGTTGATTCTTCATAATAAAATAAAAAGGTAAGTAAATAGTTGTTTTATGTATATGCGCTCTAATAATGACACATCTTATGCAACATTAAAAAAACGTGACTTGACATAACCTAATACACAGTAATAATACTTATACTTCTCTATTTTGTATGTTTATTTATTATATATAATATAAATACAGTAAATTAAAAAAATTTCAAAGTAAAATTGACAATTGTGACGCGCTCTAAAGAAAGGAAATACATAAATATGTATAAGGTTGTATACAAATGAACATTTTTGAACAAAAGTTTCTTTTTGATTGTAAAGACTTAAACATGGTTAGAATACTAATTGTAATAAATTGATCACTAGACAGTATTTAAAAGTTTAAAATAGAATTTAACGATCACTCCGAGTCAGGTTGATAGATAAATTCAATTTTAAACTATGTAATTAAAATAATTCTTTGATACTTTTTTTAGAGCGCATCACAATAAATAGACACTTTTTAAATTACTTATGATTCGAACTTTTAGTTTACAGAATCCTTAAAATAACACCTAAAGGAAATCACTATAAGGAGATCGAAAATTCTAGTGCCAGCATTATGTCACAAAATTTCAACGTAAACAAACGCTAGTTTATTTTTTATTTATATGTATTTTTGCAACTGAAAATTTGGTAGGACCAAGTGACAAAGAATCAGCTTTCCCACAGAGAATCGTAAGAAATAATTATTATTTTATTTTTATTTTGAATTCATATTTTTATTTCTTTTAACAACTTATTGAAAGCGCATTTGTAAACTTAAATTCTGTTTTCAAGTTTAAAATTAAAAAGAAAAATCTTGATAATATATATTAAAAAATTGAGAAAACATTGAATTTAAATGTCACATTACCAACAAACTTATAAAAGCAAAAATTCATTTTACAGTTTCCCATAACTGTACTTCACACTTATCAAATATATTTAAAGCTCTTTTTACAATTTTTAAAACTTTGAACTTTTAATTATCAAAATCGAAATATACTTTAGAATTACATTGAATCTCCAAAATTATCAATTTTATAAGAATTACCTTTTTTTGTAAATTTAGGTGGTAAATGCGTAAATAGTGACAATTTAAGACGTAACAGTAAAAATTATAATATAGGGATTATACTATCAACTTTCTAAATAATTATTTTTAGTTGCGATTTTTTGACCAACTTTCAAATGGCAAAAAATTTTGAAAATTTGACTCAACTTTGAAAAAAGACTAACGTCATTAAATTCAGTTTGAAGTTCGTAAAAGTCGGTTTTTTTGAAAAAAGGTCTGTAAAGTCCGTAATTCGATTGAAAAAGATCCGTAAAGTACGTAAATTATACGATATAATTTAGATAATTTTAGAGAAATTACAAATGATTGAAGGAATTCAATTATTTTCAAAAGTAATAAAAATCTTCGCAAAAATTTAATTATGTTCAAAAATTTTTGAAAATTCTCGTCAAAATTTCAATTATTTTTATAAATAATTAAATTCTTCTTCGAAATATCAATTATTTTCAAAAATTTTAATAAAATTCTTGGAAAAATTTCAATTATTTTCAAAATTTTTCCTCAATTCAATGATTTTTAATAGGTATCTATACTATTCTAATAAAATTTTCCAAAAGAATTCAATTATTTAAAAAAAAATCTACTAAAATTCTACACAAACCTTTAATTATTTTCAAAAAATAATAAAAATTTTACAGGAATTTCATTATTTACAAATTTTTTTATAAATTTCTTCGCAATATTCAATTATTTTCATAAATAAAAAAATTTTTACAGGTATTTAATTTTTTTGGCAAATAATAAAATTCTTATTAGGAATTCAATTATTTTGATAAATAATAAAGCTAATTGCAGAACTTCAATTATTTTTAATACAATTTTAATCGAATTCCTCGAAAAATGTAATTATTCTTAAAAATTTTATTAAAATTTATCAAAGAAATTTAATTATTATAATAACCTTTGCTACAATTTATTTATTAGAATTTAAATATTATTTTTAATAAATATTTGATTAAATTTCTTTAAAGAATAAAATTATTGCATTCCAAATTTTTAATGCAATTCTTTGCGTAAATTATCAATTATCTTTATAAATAATAAAATTCTTCTCTAAAATTGAATTATTTCCAAAAAATTTAATAAATTTCTTGGCAAAATTTCAATTATTTTCAAAAATTTTCCCTAATTTAATTATTTTTAATATCAATTTTAATAAAATTTACAAAAGAATTCAAATTATTTGAAAATTGATTGATACAATTCTTTAAAAGAATTCAATTTTAAGAAACATATGTAATTATTCAATTAATTGTTATTTTTGTATTTAAATAATGAAATTCTCGTAGAATTTTCTCATAAAAATTGATTTAAAAATGGATTTCAGTTAAAATTTTAGATTATAATTGAATATTAAAAGTATTAGAGCGTAAAGTTTTAGAAATAATTAAATTTTTAAAAGGTTTCAGATTCAAATCTTTGAAAATTTGAATTTTTCCTATTTTTAACTAAGTAACAATTCTGTGGAATTAATTTTTTTGAGAAATTTTAATTGCGAATTTTTTTTTATATTATTTGAAGTTTTTATTTTCTAATACATATTTAATTGAAGAATTTACGAAAAATTGAATATTGTAAAGAAATGGATTTGAAAATTGTCAAAGAACTTTTTCGAAAATTATTAAAAATTATCGATTTTAAGAAGAATTTTAGTTAAAAATTGTTAATGATTTTATCACTTTATCTTTAATTATTATAAAACATGAAGTAATCGATTGCTCCGAGTCGAAGACTCGGAGTTATCGATATCTTCATGTTTTTTTAGTTATGAAAAAATCTAATTTATACTTTTAAGTAAAATGTTCTCTTATATATTTTTGTCAGTAATTGGTCCGTAAATGGTCCGTAATTTTTCATTTTTGGTCCGTAAAGTCCGTATTTTTAAATCCTTTCACTGGTTCGAGCCCTGAAATTTAATAATCAACGTTTGTTTTTTAATTCTAAAAAATTCTATTCATAGATTACAATGGATGACGACGAATGGTATGTTCCTCCAGTTAAACACTATAAATTGGCATTATATCCGCACTGTGATACTCGCCAAATTAGTGAAAGAAGGAAAAGAGTTTGGGAAAAAGCTTTTGAACAATTGAGTGAAGGTAATATTAATACAAGTTTCATATGTAAAATTTTGGGTCGGTATAAGTAACCCAGTCAACTGTATACATGAATTAAACGTTAATGTTCTTTTTGACCACTTTGTAGCCAAATTCTTGAGTTATGAATTTTCGAAATTTTGGATTTTTAGAAGAAGACTTATTTTCAATATCTTGTGAGTCTCAAAATATTAGATTTAGAAAAAAGTTGTTAAAGAAAAAAAATTTTTGGTCTTCAACTTTTAAGTAAAGTAAAAAATTTTTTTTTAATTTTTAATTTAAAAAAATATTTTTTATAAACAAATTAATTGTTTTTAATTTGGGCATGATTAATTTTTTATTATTCTTAATTTATTTATACATGATGAGAAAATTTTTTAAAAAATAACGTATGAGCCTATTGCGTTTAAGGAGTTTAAAAAAATTTCAAAAATCGCTTGCAAGCTGTTTGAGCGCTACGCTACTCCTCACAGTGGGAGTTTTTTTTACATTGCATTAAAAACCAAAATTTTCTTTTTTTGAAATCTTTTTTCTAAACTCATCCAAAATTTTGAAAATTTTGACAATTATATGTACAAAAACAAAAAATACTTTGAATTAAAAACATCCAGTTTAAACTTAAGGTTATACACTATTTATTTTCAGCAAAGGAAAATTCACCTTTTGATCCAAGTGTGCAGCAACATTCTAGCAAAAAAAATGTAGAGGTTCCAGTTTTGGATGAAAATGGCCAATTCCAGACATATGATTACTTCAATGATAATGAAATTAATAACGAAGAGGACAGCGAAGATGACATTACATTTTCAGAACACCTAAGAGAAGGGGCAACCGAGCATCCTAATTTAAACAAATCTTCTAATTTCATCGATAACGGTGATCAAGTTATGTTTGACCAATCGGGAACTACTGTAAATGATGTAATAGAAATGGTAGTAGCCCAGTGGGCACAAAGACGAAAAACGTTCTTTAAACGTCTGTAGAACGTTTAATGTCTGCCAATTTATGTTTTAAGAACGTCCGACTGTTCCAAAAATGTTTCGGAACATTCGGATGTTCTTTGAACGTAAATTGTCAGACATTAAACTTTCTACAGACGTTTAAAGAACGTTTTTTGTCTTTGTGCCCACTGGGAGCCTACTGTCTACGATATGGCGATTCTCAAAAGGGACGGAAAATGTTAATTGAAATGTTTAAAATTTGCGCAGGACCAAAATTTAAAAATCTTAACTTAACCAACTACAAATTATCAAAAATTTTCGATCCACCACCTCATGTAACAACTTATAATTTTTATTGCAATAACTGTTTTGAAAAAGTAGTGCATTCGTCTTCGAAATTAGAAATCAAAGGTCAATCATCTATTTGTGAGCATTGTAAAAGTAATATACTTATTAAGCTAAGTAATCCGAATTATTTTGTCATTAATAACTTAGAATATCAAATGCAAACACTGCTTAAAAATAAAGAAATCTTACAGCATTTCATCGATAATTCTACGAAAGAAACTTGCAATATTGATAGCAGTACAATAAGTGACGTAAACAGCAGTGTTCTGTATCAACGCACTATTGAAAAATATTCAGCAACATTTACATATACCATTAGCACAGACGGTGCACCTGTTTTCCATGTTTCTAAAAAAATTATTTTGGCCACTTCAAATCATTTTTAACGATTTACCTGTAAAGCTACGCTTCAAATTTGTTTTGTTAGCTGGAATTATGATAGTATGTATAAATTTTCTATATTATATAGGATTAATGTGTACATTTATTTTTTATTTAACAAAGATAAATATTACTTTTCAATTAAAATACTTTATTAAATACTACTAGTAAAAAATAAATAATAATGACTATAATAAATTTTTTTAATTTATATAAATAGTATATTCTTTCTCATTAAAAATAGTATTATTTTATCGAATTTAAGTATTTGGGAATTGCAAGGAATTAAGTTTCATTTTGTGCCTTCTTTAATTTGGAATTGAAAAGAATTCAAATAATTTGTGTATATTTTCAAATCAGCAAAACGGAATTCAAAGAAATTCATTTTGATGAAAAAATTAGTCTAGACAAGGAATACAGCGGAATTGGACAGAAACGGAATTCAAAAGAATTCAATTAATGTCTTTCTTCTGTTGAACGGTCTAACTTCTGAATTCTTTTTTATTCCATGCTTCTTACTGGGTTTAAACACGCAGAATCAGCATTGTCAAACTGTGACAGAAATGACGAATCAATAGATGTCAGATATACATAATGGCCCGAAAAATTTGCCTTCTTAAAATTAAACTTTAATTTTACTTGATCCTGGCTGGTATTAAAAATAGATGGCAAAAATTTATGTGTCGAAGGGATTGTAGCTTCGATACAGAGAGCCGGGTGGTGCATATCCTCTTTTACTAATGGATATGTAGCTTTAGAAGTAATACATTTAACATCGGAGCAAACTAAATCTAAAATTCTTTAAAAAAATTAGGAATAAAGTTGCATTGTTTTAAATTCAAAGAAGATAAAAAATTTGTTAAAACCGTAGATTTAGTGTTACATGATGTTAAGTGACAATAAAAGTCTCTAATAAATATTACATTTTTATTATAAAAAATTTGGTATTCTTGTAAATCAGAAAAAAGGACGTAAAGGAGAATATTGGAATGTCAGGTGGAATATAAACAGCTATAAACAAAAAAGATAGCGTATTTTTTGTTATAGTTAATCCTACAATGTCAATATTATAAGCTTCAAAATTTAGGTCTTGGATAAGATTAACATTATATTCATTACTTACAGATACAAACACTCCCAAATATGACGAACAAAAAGTTTAAAAATTGTTTAGATTCGCTTAATACTCATTACTCAGAGCTTTTGGGATCGCTGAATCTGAATCCGAATGTCCGTATTTGAAAGAATTAATTTTTTTAAAAAAGGATTTTTCGAATTTTTTTTTGTTTCTTTTTTAAAATCCTTAATATCTCTAGAATATAAGTTTAAAATTTTATGACGAAATTTAACTCCTATCAAAAATTATAATACATCACACTGCCATCGGGATGGCTCCACGTGCATGGCCCAAAAACATACCATTCTTTAAATTATGATATTCCTGTAAAAAGTAATTTTAGAAACTTAACAAATCTACTGTTTGAAAGCTTATAATATTCTATGTTAAATGATATACAATTTGAAATTTTAGAAAATTACACAAAGATTTTAACAATCGACAAATTCGAAAAAGAAATTAAAAAATGAGTTTTTTCGCCAATTTTTTAAACTTGGACATATTTTTTAAAAATTGCAGACAAAATTTAAAACTTATATAGGTGTCATCCTTCAAGTCTCATCTTTAATTTAAGACAAAAAAAGTTAAAAAATCTTGTTCGGTTCGCGAAATATTATTATAAATGTCAGTGCATGTTTTTGGACAAATGCATTGAATTAGTCAATTTTGTATTTCTAATTTTTAAACACTGACATTGGATTCAGATTAGGCGACCCCAAAAACCCCCAAATATTGAGTTTCAAGCGAATCTAAACAATTTTTAAACTTTTTGGTCGCCATATTGGATAAGCCATTTTTAAATTTTTAAATCTAACATCAAATTCAGATTCTGCGATCCAAAATACTATAGTACACTCATGAAAATTGAAATTAAATTTGATTTGGTACATTTTTTAACGTGCTTGTATACACAATTCACGATGGAAATACTAAAAATTACTTTTTTCAAAAACTCCCCGATAGATTATTTTAATTTTTGTTGCAAAATACTCAGGTCTTCAGTGTTCGAATCCATAAAAAAATCCCATTTCGCAAGACTTTTTTTAAAAAGTTGGTTCAAACCCACCGTATTTTAAAAATCTAAGCTTTTGGAAAATATAACTTTTTTAAAAATTTTGTTGAAAAATGTAAAAGTAACTTTAAAAATATGGTTACCAACTTGTAGAGCATTAAAAAACGCTTCGATTGACCTATTTTTGAACCTAATTTAATCATAAATTTAAAAATTATTGGAATTATAAAAACCAAAAATTGTGAAAAATGACATTTTCTCAACTTTTTTTAAAAAATTTTTCTTTATCTATTAAACTATTATAACTATCTTGTAGGGTATTTAAAAATATATTGATTGACCCAATATTTAATCACTTTTACCATATTTATTCAAAGTTATTCATATGTTTTTATTATTATTATTATCTTCATGAGGAAGAAAAGTGTTCATGAAATGAGCGCCAGAATTATAACAAAAAATATACAACTTAGTAGCGGTTTTTTTACATGTTGTTAAAAATGTTTTTTACATTTTTTGTTTTTTTCGGGTTTATTTGTTTAAAAATTATTTATTTTACATTAAGCGAGTACTCTGTCAAAAATCAAGACCGTTCACGTGAAATGAACCAAATTTTTTTTTTTTTTGAAATTTTTTTTTTTTTATTTTTTTTATTTATTAACTTTTTTTTTTTTTTTTATTTACTTTACAAGTGAAACCATTTTTAATAATTTTGTCACATATCACATCAATATCACAAAAAAATTAATAAAGAACATAAATCATAGTTTCAAACTAATTTATTGTCAATTTATATCTAAAAAATGTTAAACTGACATTAAAAATGGAAAAAACAGGCAGTCCACTCATGGTTATAAACAGTGGTCCACTCATGGTGACAAACAACTTTTTATGGCAGCCACCACAATTTTTTTTGAGTCAAAATTATCACTAAATTAAACTAAGACAATCAATTTCAATGTCCAAAGTAGTAGGAAAAAAATAAGTTACCTTTTAAAACTTAAATTTTACACTACTTTTACACTTCCAAATCACTTTACTCATTGAAAGAGCGACTTCTTTTTTGGTTTGTGTTCTCAAAAATGCGTTACATCAAACGGTAACGTATATTATTATCGCGGAACCTAATTTCTTACGGTTTCTAGGTGCGGTGCCGCTATTCGCACTATTTATTTGACGTTTCCGCTGTCAGATAACTTAAAAGCTCAGGCGGTCCACTAAAGGTGACATTACCCTATGAGAAATTCCACGTAAGATTTTAGTCGACAGTGGGATTTTTTTACAATTAAATTTTTAAAACTGCTACAGCGTAGACCCTTTAACTTAAAACAAAGAACACAAATAGATTAAAATTTATACGCTGCAGACAGTTCTAAAAAGTTAATTGTAAAAATATCCCATGTGATGCTTGCAAGTGATTTTTGAAAATGTTTTAAAACTCATTTAACACATCAGGCCCATTTCGAGACTTTTTGGAAACTCTCCTCTATATTATAAGGTATAAATAAATTAAAAAAAATTTTTTTAAATCCGGCCCAAAGTTAAAAACAATTAAATTGTTTATAAAAAAAAATTTTTGTTTACATTCCTTAAAACTCGAAAGAAAACTAAAACTTTCATTCTTTGACAACTTTTTCCTAAACTTAATATTTTCGGTATTATAAGCTACTGAATATAGGTCTTCAATTACAAGTAAAAAATTTCGAAAATTTATAACTTGAAAATTTGTACAATTAAACAAAAATAAAAACATACGAATCTAATTTGTTTCGATACAGAATAGAAAAAAAATATTTTTTGGCCGATTTTAAGAGGTGGACTTAAATCTCACGTGGAATTGCCCATATATATGTTTTTTTTCGAAAAAAGAATCAGCTACGATTTTCGGAAATGAAAATTTGGAATCTTGGGACGATTACAGATAAAACTGCGTCAGCACAATTTTGACTCATTTTAGGTAAACCTAAAAGTGCTTGAAGACCACCGTGTTAATTAATTTAAATTTTGTTTCAATAGAGTGTAATTATTCTATTGGCAATGGAAATTACCACCGCGGGCTCGGTGTCGCTAGTGTTTTACGCCAAAAATGGACGAAATGGGTGTACAAATTTAAAAAAATATATATACTTATATTGTGACTTTTCGGTTTTAATTTTAACCCTCTGCATACTCATGTGACCGTTATCGTCTAAAATCGTCTATTAGGACGCCTGGTGGGGACTATGGAAAGTACATTTAAAAGAGCTAGAGTGGGGATAAGTCAGCGTAGGCAGAGGGTTAAGTAGTTTTTCAATGAAAAGATAAATAATGACTAACAATCTTAACAAATATTTCTTAAACATTAGAATATTTTAAATATTAACAATTTTTGCAACCTTGTACACCCACAGCAGCTATTTCTTTAGTTCACTTTATGGTCACTATGTGTCGCATTGCAATTTTAAATCCCCAATAACATTCACAGAAATAAATAATAAATAAACAATAACCCCGGAAACCAGCTGAATGTAGTCATTTAATAGCCTAAGCTCGACTTTTTTAAAGTTTTATTTAAAAAATCAAAAATGGCGGATCCAATATGGCGGACAAAATTCAAATCTGTTCAGATTTGATTAAAACTTAATACTCGGGGGTTTTAAGGGTCGCAGATTACGAATATGAAGTCACTTCTTAGAAATTGAAAATGTCGGATCCAATATGATGGACAAATTTTTTAATTTGATGAGATTTAATTAAAACTTGTTTCTCGGGGGTTTTTAGGGTAGCTGATTACGAATATGAAGTTACTTCTTAAAAATTAAAAATAGCAGATCTCATATGACTAAAAAAAGTTTCAAATTTGATACAATTCTCTTAATGGTTGTAATAAATTTTATTTATTCTTCATTTGTTATAGAATTACTCATGAATCCATACAAATGAATTTGTTAAATTATAGCTTAAAATATTTAGAAAAGATCTCGATTTAAAATTAGCTGTTTAAAACTTCTTCAACATATTTCACCACCCTCTTTAATGAGCTCAGATTACTTTTATTTAAGGGGATGGGTAAGGTCTAAACAGTGAAATAGCATGTTTTTAAGAATTTTTTTTGGCGATACGCAGAAAGTTAATTTATTTTATCGCTTTGTATATAATATTGCAACATTTAACCGACAGATTAGCTCAGTCAGATAGATGCCTCGCTTGGCGGTCGTTTAAGGACCAAGGGTATAAGTACCCTTGGTTCGCGCCCATTTGGCTTGGTATTTTTCCGGCACGTGAGGGTGGAGTCCCATGACAGCGTTTTGCGTTGCGTCGTAATGGGAGAGAAAAAGATGCAAATATACGTTTGCTGCATTCTCTCTCATTACAACGCAACGCAAAACGCTGCCATGGAACTGCGGCCTGAAACAATCTGAGCGGGAGGTTTGAGGGTGGAGTCCCATGACAGCGTTTTGCGTTGCGTCGTAATGGGAGAGAAAAAGACGCAAATATACGTTTGCTGCATTCTCTCTCATTACAACGCAACGCAAAACGCTGCCATGGGACTGCGGCCTGACGTCGAGGTATAATGATGTGCACCGTCGATTATTAGGCGGTGTTTACATGCTTGCGTTCGAACGCTGCGTTTTGCGTTGAATAATGAGATAGAGAAAGAAGCACATATATTTCTATCCTTTTTACACTCACTGCTCAACGCAAAACGCAGCGTTCGAACGCAAGCATGTAAACACCGCCTTAAGGCCAACGCAGAATAGTTCTGTAACCGGAACCGCAATCGTAACCGTAAGCGTAAGAATGAGTTAGAGAAGGATAAACAATATACCTATCCTTCTCTAACTCATTCTTACGGTTACGCTTACGATTGCGGTTCCGGTTACAGATCTATTCTGCGTTGGCCTTTAGGGTTCCGTACACCACAGGTGTACTGA